CAGAGCCAGCACAGTAGTAGATCTATGGCTAACAGGAAAGAAAAATGAAGCTTGTATCAGGTTAAAATAGATGTCCAGATGATCTTATTTCAGAGTCTGTTTTTTTTCCTTGTCCCTATCCAGTCTCAATGTAAAAATAAATGAATCTATGACTCTTCATGGTGGTAACAACATATCCTAAATACACTGCTCTCTGTCCCTCACACCACTGCTCTTGGGCTCCCACTTGTAATCAAAACCATGAAGAAAAAGGCTCTACTCTTATGTCAGACCTAGCTTCCACATGGACAAGCCCTTTTACCACAATTGCCTGGAAATGTAGTCATGTTAGTACAACCAGAATTTGTATCTGCTGGGCAACACATTAAAAAGAAAAATCAGTTGCTATTGGACTTTTAAGTCCAATAGGTTCTTATTGTGAACAGATAACGACACAACTACACATGACAATGACTTCATGGCCATCACTGTTTCAGTGTCAAGCTACCCTTACCCACTACAGACAACACTACTTTTACTATCAGTTTAATCACAAGAAAATGATAATCTCATCACCCATCAGTATCAATTGTGCATGGTGTCAGATCAATTTGAAGAAATAATTAGTTTCTGTAGTGGAATTCCCCAGGTAGAGTATATTAGTGCACACATTATCATTGCCCTCCTGGCAGCCTATCACAGAAAATACACATTTTATCCTCATTCTTTCACAAGAAGTTTAATAAAGAGCAAAACAGAAGCATTATTTTCATTTTGTTTTGCAAAGGAAGTGTCTGCATTACCTAGTAAACTAAAAAAGGATATGAAATCTTTGTAGGTTTGTGTGTGCACTCTGAGAGAACACAGGCAAAGCTGCAAGTTAGGCTCCTAAGCACAACTGCAGGTACTCATGGAAGCCATCTTTTAATGTTGCAGGATGTTGATAGTCTTTCTAGTTCTCTATTTAAAAGCTCAAAATGATGCTTTAGCATATAAATAGCTTTTTCAGGACCCAAATATACTGGTTTGAGTCCTTACATGTAGTACTTAGATGTGCTGTTAGAGAGCCTCTATCCCTAAACACTTTCTATCTCACTGTAATGTTAAAGAGACAAGGCATTTAAAACCACCCAAAAATACAAGTTCAGGACGGAGTTCATAGAGCAGTGAGTTTGATGCAAATAAATTATTTTTCAGATTTTTTGATTGTTTATTTTTTCTGGAGGAATAGTTCTGTATTATGACCTGACACCAAAAATAGGCTAAATTTACTGTATTTCCTTTTTTTGGACTCTTTAAAAAGCGTTCAAGGAGACCTGGAGGACTCATAGGTTACAGATTGGAAGCCACTGTTTTAGAACCCTGCTTCTTCACCATTAGAAACCATAGAAGGTATCTGAGGTTTCTGCCCTGAGGTGCTCTCCCAAAGGCAGCTAAGCTGTCTGACAGAGAAAAAAAAAAAAAAAAAAAAAAAAAAAAGTGCCAGAAGCATCCACCAAAGGACTAAAGCATCCCTTGCCCTAATTTCTACATCTTTGCAAAGCTTAGGTCTAACAGTGAGATGGTCAGACTGTGGCAGCTGCATGACTTCATCAAGCAAGAGGCCAAGCAAATGCCACATCAGAAAAGGAGAAGGTAGAGTTTTAGGGGAAGATGTCTGCTAAATGGGACTTTTTTAACAGAGGTATGGGCTTGAAGTCTGTTTCAATTCCGTTTTAATGTTCACTGTTTTTCTGTATGACTCAGTAAGACTTGTAGGCGCCTGTGTATTATTGAAAGTCAATGAGAAGGAAGTCCTGAGTCACCAAAGCACTTTTTTCTTTATTGTTATTTCCATTAAGCAGCATGATGTAATTATTTAAGTCAAATACTACGGCAAGATTTTTACAGCAGAGAGATACAAGACGTTCATATTGACATTAGGTGAGTAAAAACACAATGTTACATGAGTTTTATAATCCTAATAGAAAGGAAGTTAAGTAGTCCTCTGGACTATTGAAGCTATCTAAGATAAATGAAAATATTAAATTCAATTATTAATCTGCCATGTCTCTTTTTTCTTCTCTGTGTACATAATTACTTTTTGAAAGCAACAGAACTTATTTTTTAATTATTTTTTCCTGCACATCTTTTGTTCATTATTATTTGACTGTACTTAGAAAAAAGGAATTGTAAACCACAGTTGCTCTTTGAAGTACATCCAAGCTAATTACACAAACAGCAATATAAACCAAACATAATTCAAGCAATTTTTAGCACACACACATACTCCTTTTTTGCTTATAGAACTTCCCAATTTGTATTCTGAGACCAAAATAGCAGTCTTTTTCTCCTACAGACTTAATCTTAAAAGGTATACAAGTATTGGTAGTACACACTTTGGAATGCAATCCAAGATATGCAACTGACAGCTCAGACTGCCTGCTGTTCTCCACTGATCGGAGATTCCACTGCAGTGCTGTAAGCCTGGTATTGTTAACTGCAGGAGTGCAGACCATTAAGTTTAGAGACAGCATATTTAAATTATTTTTTTCTTTCTTACTGAAGTTTGCTACTAGAGAAGAACTTCAGCTTTGAATTGTGAACTCTGAAACAAAAGGGAAGTATCAAACAATTTCTAGTTTTGTAGCTAACACTACAACTTCTGGCACAAAAGGAGAACTTTCAGATCCTAATCCAGAAACTTAGTCTACAACAGAAGGCAAATGTTTCTCTGCAATCATCTGAGAGTCAGCAAGCAAGAGGTTCAGCTGCAGAATCAGGAAGCGCAAGGGATACAGCACAGTGAGTTTTTTAGCATGGTGCAGAGACAGAATTTGGTCTGCTCAGGAAAACTTAGTAAATATGAAAGAGTGTATGGGCAAGGACAATAGGAAAGGGAGAAAGACAAAGAGGCCAAATGACTTGCCCAATTCAAATATCTCAATCTGTCTCGCTCTGATACCAGCCAGCGCATGTACAGTTTACCACTTATTTTCCATTCTGCAGAGAAATCAAATATTCTGCTTTTTTACTACAAGAGCTTCACGACCCATAAACTCAGTTGTATCAGAATACAATTTCCTCCTGAAGCAATGCCACCACTCCAATTTAGGACACCTACATGGAAGCAGCTTCCATGGAAGTGCTTTTCCGCAGAAGCAACCTTCTACTGTAAACACACAAGCTTTCATAGACTCATCAAGCACACCAGTCCAACACATCTGCTACCTTGTTCTCAGGTCTTGAAACCTGGCCTGACACCAAAGCCTCCTACATCAGCATTAAAGTAAGGTGAGCAGTCTGGCAAGAACACATATCTCTTTTCTAGAACACTGCCTCAGCTCTCCAATATACAGCTCAGTCTGACAACAGCAAAGCCAATAGACGAGCAGCATGCTCTCATGCGCAGTGTGATCAGTGCTGCCTTAGTCACTAACACATGTTCATTGCTGGCTTTGTTGTACCTTGCATTACCAGTACCAGTATCTTTGCCCTATTCTCAATGAAAATAAGAGCAAGTCACAAATTACTATACTTTCAGGTAGAGGTAACAATATACAATGTGTTTCTACAGCACTGAAAAGGAGGCTATACAACATCTAACATTGGTAAAGAGCTCTGCAAAGTTACAGGTCTTTATAGGAAATCAAGATAGCTTGGGCATTCAGAAAGATCTGGCAGACCCTTCACATATTTAAGTAAATCCCAGTGCTGCACTGCAGAAATGAAGCTATTGCTATTCCACTGCAAGGGCAGGCAGTGAAGAGACAACCACTTCTGCCACCTTTCTGTGCACCTTTGCTTGTGGCACAGCTTTAGATTCCCTTCCAGCACAGAGGCAGCTCAAGAACAAAATAGACACACCAAGCTGAGAGATGAAGAGCAGTAAATACTTCACTAACCTCATCTCCTTTATGCCTAAGTGACCCCTTTGGTGGATGAAGAAAAAGCCAGGTCATGCCTTTGGGTCCCAATAACTCCATGCAGCACTACAAGCTGGGACAGTGCCTGGGAAGCAGCCCAGAGGAAAAGACCCAGGGGTGTGGTTGACAGCAGCTGAACATGAGCCAGCTTTGCCCAGGGGGCAAGGAAGGCCAATGGCATCCTGGCCTGTATCAGCAGTAGTGTCGCCAGCAGGAGCAGGGCAGGGATTTTCCCCCGTTTTTCATTTGGCACTGGTGAGGCTGCACCTCGAGCAGTGTGGCCAGTTCTGGGTCCCTCACTACAGGAAACACACTGAGCTGCTGGTGTGACAAAGGAGCTGGTATAGGGTCTGGTGCACAAGTCCCGTGAGGAACAGCTGAGGGAGCTGGGGATGCCAGCCTGGAAAAAAAGGAGGCTCTGAGAAGACCTTATAGCTCTCTGCAACTACTTGAAAGAAAGGTGTAGCCAGGTGGGGCTTGGTTTCTCCTTCAGATAAAAAGTGACAAGAGAAGAGGAAAGCGCGTCAGGCTGTGCCAGAGGAGGTTTAGATCAGAGATTAGGAATGACTTTTTTCACTGAAGGGGCAATCAGTGATTGGAACAGGCTGCTACATGGTAGAGTCACCATCCCTGTCAGTATTTAAAGGACATGTAAACAAGGCACTTAGCCATGGTTTGGGGCAGGCATGGCAGTGCTGGGTTAATGGTTGGACTTGATCTTCTTAGAGGTCTTTTCCAACCTAAGTGGTTCTATGATTCTATCCTCCATTAATGCATGAAATGCATCCTAAGGCTTAATGCACTCAAATTAGAGACCACTGCCAGGTGATCACAGAAATTGCCTGGCAGTTTTTCCATCCCAAATGTGCTAGATGCCAAGAGGGAAAGCTTCCATTTCTTCAGCTTCTCTCATTTCTTCCAGAAAAGTCCACTTAAACTTGGAAAGGATGCAATTTCACTTTCCAATTGCAGGACACAATTTAAATGCATATCTATCACTGAGAATAAATTATCTTAAGAAGTGCCAGGAGGTCATGATGTTTATTCTATTTATAATTGCTTAGTTTTCATTTTAATTTTTCAGCTTTTGTTTTATTTATTCTGTGGAAGATTCTTGTTTGTGTCTGGTTTGGTTTTTTGTCCGTATTGTCCTTGTTACATAATCTTCATTCTTCAGTAACATAAATAGCCTGAAACTAGAAAACAAAGCCCTTTGAAACAGAACACCTTCAGTACTTACCTTTCAACAGTGTGTATCATAGTTACACATTCAAGTCCATAGACTAGCATGTCCAACTAAGCATCTAATTATGCTGATCAGTGCCTTTGTCCATTTAAATACCTGAGGGAGGCCAATTTCTCTTTCTGCAGTCCTTATTTAGGCACACATTGATTTTAAAAAAAAAAAAAAATTGATAAGCATGAGCTCTGTGTGATATTTTTTTCCACTTTGCTATTTTCTTAAGTACCTCCATTACTCTTACTGTTTTCCCAAGTATCAGGTATTGATATACTTTAAATTCAGAGGATAATTGAGTCCTCAGTTAAGTGCACAACAACCCAGGCAAATATGCAGTTCCTGATATGCTCTAAAATTTGTATTTCTAAGTAACACGCAGTATGTTTATAAATTACTGGCCTGATAAAATTTACTTTGCTGATACACATTTAGCTCTGTTTTCAGTCATTTCTAGCAGGCTCTTGGGAAGAAACAGATGACTAATGCATAACAAATTCCAAAGTGCATAGATATATATAAATCAAGAAGAAAGCCAAACCACCAATGTTGCATCTTAATTTTGAAAAAGGATAGGGAATTATGGAAAGGAACTTTTACTCTGATGAGTTTTCAATAGCCTGTATTTATATTGAAGGCTTTGGGATTTCTTTTACCTGAATTTGTAGATGCTTCTTCACGAAGTGTTACTTGTTGAATATAAAGCTCAATGCAGCTCAAATAAAATGCTGTTTTATTCATTTGAAAGAATAAAAATCTCCTAATCATCATTATTTCTAAATATTTAGATTTTCTCAAGTGAGTTATCTTACATATAAGGGATAACGTTCTGTTACATGAATTTGCACACATCTCAATTACTGCCTTTACTGCAACTTCAGTGCTTTCAGAAGGCATCCATTCTGTTTTGCATGTAAAAGTTAATCCTGAGAAAAAAAATCTGTTGTTAAATCCCGATAATAAACGTGTGTGCTTATACTAAATGGAAGCCACATATGCATGTTGGATCTTAACCCTATGGAGCACCATCTGTCTACTCTAGTTGGATGATATGCAACAGGGCAATGGATGAGAAATAATCCTAGTCATTCACTTAAAAAGAAATAGTTCAACACAGCCTTCCCTTGCAACACATTAAATACGATAGCCAGAAGTGGCAGGGTGCTAATTACTCTAGTGATGTGATCCATTTTCTAAATAGTGAGAACATCAATAATTCAGTGGAAGTGACTGTTAAAAAATTTAATGTCTGACAATCTGAGCCTGGCAAATAGAAAGGTAATCTTTTGTGTCTACTAGTTGGCATTCAGGGCTTTCTTTTCATTAGAAAATATAAATGCATTGTTCCTGCTTGAGGCAGTCTAGATTATGAAAGATGGCAGATGTATAATGTGTCTAGTTTTGATTGTTCCAGGTAGGAAGGCAGAACTCAGCAGACAAAAATGCAGATGCCACATATTTAATGAAAATTAGGTTTACAAATATGCTTAATAAAGTCTGAATGGTTTCTGCTAATAGTAGCAGCCCAATTACATGGAAGTGAGTATAGCTACATTAACATAAAGATATGAAGCAATCAGGTGGCTCTGCTGGCTGGATATTGCACTTCCAGTTAAGAAAAATCCCCTGCTTATTCACAAGAATAAGAATTCATTTAGCTGTTGGCATCAACATTTCAGAGAGAGAGCATTAACAGCTACAAAGTCAAAGCATATTGAAGGAATGGACTGGCAAGGCACTCTTAGCTTACATAAATTTCTAGCTTTTATATTTCTGCAGCAATGTAAACAAGTGATAAAAGCCTTCCTGTTTAATCGTGTCAGACTGTAATTCGCAGGTATACGTTGCTGGAACAGAAAAAGTTAGAAAGGTCTAACTTTGCCTAGTTTAACCAAAAATTAGAACATAGGTACCTGCATAAGCTACAACTCTGAAGAAATGTTACTGGTAAGCTATTCCGAGGTATTGGAATATCCCATTCTGGCAAGTCCAGTCTCTCAAAATCAGTGACAATTAGGTGGTCAAATAAGAATTAGGTTCTCAAATAGCTTTGTGGATATGGGCTTATGTCCCAGACCTAAACAGGTTAAATGCTTCAATTAGAATTTAAGTGGATCATAATATAACAGTCCTACTACAAGAAAATGGGTTTAGCAATTCTATTTCTCTCCTTTAGCTGCTCAAACAGAATTTTAATGGAGGTCTTATAAAACAATCTCAGCATAGACAAACTGCTTAAACACCCAAATCCTTGAATCATCAATATTTCAGCCCTCATGATTTTTCTCACCATAGACCAACACACAGAGCTTTATATTGTTTTCAAAGTCCCAAATGTAATCCCTCATTAAAATTTAGATTGATCCCTAAAGAAGATACTTCACACATTCTTGCTTCTGATAACTGATAATTGAATTTTATTAGTTTTATAATTAAAGTAGAAGCTGAGAGCATGCTTCAATTATTTGCCACATAATGTGATGCACTTGAAATTTTTACTTTCCAAAATTCGTCTGACATTAGCTGCTACTTTTCATTTCTGTCCACTCAAAGTTTAACATTTCATGTTAACCTCAAAGTCTTCTCACAAGCACAAGCTACCCATAAGCAAAGAGTGTCTCTAGTCCAGGATTAACAAGTACCTGCAGATACCAGTGATCTTAAATTATTTCACTTTAGGCTCTTGAAAGGAAATTTTTCTCTTATTTATCTATCCAGACCTCTTCCAAGGTAACTCAAGTTGAAATTCAATCATGCAAGTAGTCACTTCTCAAAACTTTGGGAAAAGTGGAAGTTATTTCTTTTCTGAGAGCGGGTCCATGAAAATCCAGAAATAATCTCTCAAAACTTAGAACAGCTTATGTGAGAATATGGGTGATCTTGTAGCATGTATTCCCTATAGAGCCAAGATCTAAATGGGCTGCATGCATGTCAGAAAAAATGTATCTGTGAAGTCAGCTGAAAGAACAGTTCTCAAAAAACTATAAACTGGTAAAACCTTATGCCAGGAAAACTGTAGACAAAATCATTTAAACTCAGCTTGAATGATGAGATAGGAAAAAAACCCTCAAAAATATTTATAAAAACTCCACTAACATTAACCTACCCACAGTGAGTCTAAGCAAACCATTGTAAAAATCTTGCAGCATACCTGATACATTAAAAGATCTACATTATTTGTAAAGAGATGATATTTTGCATGAACTCCTACCAGAAGTGCCCAGCCTCTATAATTAAAGGCTGACTTTAATACTTTATCTTCTGTCTGGATCATTTAAGGCTTATTAAATCCTGCAGTTAACAGTTAACCAACTTTGATAATTGTTTTTCTCAAAAAAAAAAAAAAAAATCAATTTTACCTCTTTTCCAGTCACTAAATCAGTGTCTGGGAAAAATAAAGACATATTTTCATCCCTTTAGATTTATTATTTTTTTTTATTCTCAATAATCACAGGTATTCTCCCCACATATTTTAGTTCTGAGAATATAGTCCCTTAAGTATTAAAGATTATTTGTGTAAGTCAAATGTATATGATAATAGGGAAAAACCTAACCGAAAAAGAAAACACCACAGATACTTTGGAGATTATTACATCTCTTCACTAGGAATCAGTCCCATCTGAATGGGAAATAAAGAGGAGGAAAAACCCAAACACATAACAAAAAAATCCCCCAAAACCCTCCAACAAACAACAACCTGTATAGTACTTGGGGCTCATCTTGTTTTCAAGGCCAAATTAATCAATGTCCCCAATTAATATTGAAAGAAATGCATTTCTGGGGATGTAAATTTTTCAGTGAACAAAAAACTTACTGACTGCAGCTGGCTGGAGCGCTGGATTTTTAGGCAGACATCAAAAATGCAAAACAATTACAATCTAGTGGAAAATTAGAGTTAAATTTCACAATAACATGAATATTTTCTGGGTTTTTTCCCTGCATTTTGTGTGAATATATTTTTTAAGGCCAGCTTGGATAAGGCCTTGAGCAACCTGATGTAGTGGGACGTGTCTCTTCCCATTAGGGAGGGAGCTGGGACTAGGTGATCTTAAAGGTCCTTTCCAACCCCGTAGAATTCTATGAATATTATATGGAATTATGTTGGTATGTCAGCATAATGTTGCCTATGTGCAAAGATAACTGGATTTTAGTAAAAATATATACAAACTTAAAATTAAATCTTTTAAATTTTTTTTCCCTTGAAAAAATTATACTCTCATATACTCAAAGCATATTGATCCACTGTTCTGAATATTAGAAATGTCAAACTCTATTCAGCACTGTGTTTTATGGAAGTCTTCTGTAAACTCTTCTTCCCATTTCAACTTAACCTACAAAATTTTTTAGAAGGCATTTGCTAGTTTGCATCAGCCCATATCACCATCACTTAGTGTACTTCCAGCTGCTACCCTGGAGCTACTCTGGCACAGGTTCCTTTAATCTGTACTGCATCCATTACTTTGCACAGCTTACCAAAGTCTTGGTAACTTTAATATTTAATATTTTTTAAAATGTTGTTCTGTCCCAGTTCGCAGATTAAATGCTGTGTGTGCCTATTCGAATCCTATGTATTTGGTATTTTTTGAGTTATTCCTTTGTATTGTTATAACCTACTAAACATGAACACAAACTGTAACAATTTAACTTTGGAGAAATTCCTAGTGCCCAATTTCCAACTATTATATATTTTGATCATTTACCTAAATAATTTTTTTTTATATTTTTCCCTGCAGTAGTTAAAATCTTTACCATGTAAAAATTTTCCTTTTATTCCTCTGCAGGTGGTTAAAGCATTGCTTTTATGATAACTCTAAAGGTCATCTCCATCAGGCAGCATTAAAGGAAATAATCTTTCACAGATGTTTGTTTCCAAAACAGAATACAGAGAAGTCATCAGAATGGTACTGTGATTTTGTTAACTTTGGGGGCTGTTTATTATTTAGCTGTCATCATTAAAAATTCAAAGCGGTGCATTGGCAAAGCAATCTGAAATGAGATTCTCCCACCACCCACATTTATGGGTAAACAACTGGGGAAAGATGGATTTTAAAAAAAAAAGTGAAGAGAGAACAGGTTGCCCTTAGAAACAGTAACTTTAGGCACTCCAAAAGCTGCAAAATTTGACTTGAAAATCTACAGATTTACAGTAATTTTGTTTCCAGAAACTTTACCTGACATAAACTTAGGTAATTATAAGAAATAGGAAAGAGGCAGTGATTTGAACATCATATTGATCTGAAGAGCTGAACTCAAGATTTGGACACAACCAAGCTCCTTTGGGTTTTTTTTTACCTTAAAAGAAAGATCTCTGTATTGTGCACCATTAAACCAGCAACAAATTCTTTGCACTGGTGTGGCATCAAGTAACACATTTGGCATGACCAAAACCCTTTATTGTCTCTTTAAGTCCCGTAGGAAGGGGATAAGTACCTCAGATTTCTTCATTGATTTGAAACTGAGACTGTGTTCTGGAGATATGCAGGATCTGCCACATCTGTCCTTTTGCCAGTATCCACAGCTGCTCAAAGAAACTGAGAGGTAAGACAGAAAGGCAGCTCAAACCTGCTCTTCATCATTGCCACATTCCCAAAAGGGACACTACAGCTCTGGGCAAGAGCTCTGTGCGATTTAATTTTTTTTCCTTCTTTTTTATTCAAAATTAAATTTATGGTTGATTTCCTACATCCTACTAAATTTTACTAGGAGACTGTCTGAAGGGGCCAGTAAAGGAAGCTAGAAAGAAGAATGTACTTGAAATGTTACCCTTCCCCAAGTTTAGACATTGATTTATAGGATGTAGAGAGCCCATCTGTGTGAACAGGCTTGTCAGCACACATATTTTGAATTAGAGAAACAATTCAAGAAAACAAGACAAAATAGAAAACAAGTAGTTCTATTCACCTCACAATTTTGTCTTCAGTAGTTAAAGAATTCACAGGAAAAAAAATAAGCAAAAAATCCACAAGCAAACAAACAAACCCAGTTACCCTAGCCCAAGAACACTCCCCCTACTGAAACTGTGATAAAACACAGGAAGGCATTTTAAGGCTTGTAAACTTAAATTAGTCATCCCTATCAATCAATTAGCACTTAGCTGAGGATTTCCAACCCATAATCTAATTAAGTGCCGTGGGCTGAGTGTAGCTACCCAGACTCTGTTGTCAAAGGAACACCAGCTTCACCTGCCTCTATGGGAGTCACTCACTGAGGGCCTCTTGCTGCATCACCAAAGTATACAAAAGGAGCAGAAAACATTTTATTTCTCAGTTTAAGCATCTTGGTTAGAATTTTAAAGTTCATAGAGATGAAACTGAGCTATAGGATCAGTAGGCTTAGAGAAAAATAAAAGGTTTTACCAGCTTGGCCAAGCCAAAACCACAATTTGTCTCATATTATAGAGAAACGCGCCTGTATAGAAGATTGAGTTAGCTTCCCTCTAAGTTAGGAATGTGGTCTAAGTGGATTTCCATGACTGAAAATTCATTTATTCAGCCATCTCATGAAAACTAGTGAATGACCTAATATCTGTGTCTATGATGTAAATCTTCTGTTGACTTATTTTTGTAAAGCACTTGCCAGTCATGTACCATATGTTATAAAACCCAGACATCCTAAAAACAAATATCTGTTCTCCATATGAAAAGGAAAGGACACCACCACAATCTACATCTGTTTCAGAGTTTATCAAAAAACATTAAACCTATAAAAAACTAAATTTGAAGTTAGAATAAATTCCTCGGTTACTAATAAAGAAATTAAAGTATTCTATATATTCCAAGGAGAAATGTGATATTTGAAGGCTTGAAGTTATATTTGTTCCACCTGGTATATATTGTTAAAATCTTGGTGCTGCTAATTAGTTAATTCTATGCAGAGACAGTAAATAGTGCCTCTACTAGCTTCAGTGTTGTACCTGTAACTGACATTTTTGTCCTTCTGTAGGGCTCCCCCCTTTCTCTGCCTCAGTTTCTCATTTGTTACATGACAAAATCACATTTTCAAACTTGATGGGAATGTTAGTACTGCAGTATATTAAAAAGCTGAGGGGTTCAGATATTATACTTGAACAGACTGTACAAATTGTAGTTCTGTCATCTGCATTTATAAACACATTAATGAAGATAATCGTAGAATTATCTTTGAAATCCACTTTGAGAAAACCATGGTGGTGTTGATAATCTGTTTACTTTAGTCCCATAGGAAAAATGGCATCTGTAGAACAAACCACTAGAAAATAGAATAAAATATTACCTTTTCTGTAACACTCTCATTTCTCTCCTCTCTGTTTCATATGCTATATTTTCAAATTCCATTAATTCTATTTGCACTCCTTCAAAATTATCCTGTCAGGTTCTTCAGTTCCATTCTTTTATGTTTAAATCAATAATGTGGAATGAAGTGTTTTGGAGTTGAGGGGACTGAGGGGTTCTGCCTGCTGGCTGATATCATTGCTCTGTATTAGCATATGTTTTCAAAAGTGTGTAGGCATATTCAAAGAAGTCAAAAAATAACTCCTAAAAAATGCTACAAACCTAAAGCTGTAGCCATCTGGAGCAAGAGCAATGCCTGCCATGAACTTACATACCTCAGACTCTGAAGGGTTTTCAAGCTGAGTGAATTCACATCTGTCAGAGAAACAGGCAGAATTTTATGCAATGGAATGCAACATGGCACCTAGATGCAATTAGAACTATAATTAGAGAGCCTTATCTAGTGTGCTCACAGTAATCTGGGATAATTTTTTTTCTGGTAAAGGCAGAAAGGAAGGCCCAGTCGAGAACTGAGGGTGATCTAGTGGCTGTTGACATGTTATCTCTTCCCCAGGAATGGCTCCTCTTGCTTGGAATGACCCCAGGCACAGCTAGCTGCTGCTGTTCCCATAAAGCTATTTATGTGTTTCAAAGCCAAAGAGGAACTGTTTCAGGTTCTTAGCCATATATCTTACCAAATAAGGTTACCTGATTTCCTGATTTCCAGCATAAATTGCCTCCTAACACAAGATGTATATTTATTAATGCTGATACCCACTGGAAATCTGGTCCAGCCACGTACTCCCTGCCTGTTTTGTTTGATTCAGAGAATTAAAACTTCAGTCTATGGGTCTGAGACCTCACATGGGCAAAGCTGTCCATTCCATTCCTAACCAGTATGTGGACAGATTTGTCATGGCAGAGGCGTAGTGTGAAGTGGATTCTGGCCTCCCCCCAGCTGAACATTCAGCAGTAAGATGGGGCCCTGCATGGCCAGCACTGTTATAGGGGCTGTCCATACATTGGCTCCATGCCCAAACATCCTCAATGAACAATTACATCACTTTAGTGTACTCTATCATCTATGATCATCTCTTTCTCCGAATTTTGATTTGTATTGTTAAATCTCTAGATTCAACATATATATGAAAATGAATTTGGTATAAAATTCACATACTAAAAAGCAGCTAAAACGGCATATTTTACCCATTGTCATTTCACAGTATGGATAATTGAGATTTACTTACTATGCCATTCTAAAAGAACGTAACAAGTAACATTAAAATCTGTTTTCTTTAGGAGCTCTTAGAAATGACAAGAATCGTGTTTCTAGAGTTTACATATGTAAAGGAGTGATTTTAAATATTTCAAGGAACTTGATCAAATTTCTCTACCTGCAAAAGACTTATCTTTGTGAAATATTTTCCTTTAAAAATATGAATACCATTATAGAAGGGCAGGGCACAGACTCACTCTTCTTGACAGACTCAAGGTAATGATTAATGATTACTAAGAGAAAAATCTGTCATTATCATTTTTAGTACTCAAGGGAGGGGACAGTAAATAAGCCACTGAGTGTTCAGAAACAGTGGTATTTTTTGCAGGTGTTGTATAAAATAATTTTTAATAACTGTCATCAAAAGCACGAAGTTCATCAGCTGTCATAATGAAATGACAATATATTTTGAACAAAGCTGTAGACTTATAATTTTAAAACTGAGTCTTCAGTATGTGAAAAATCAGGAAATGAAAAGCAAACATCTCTTCTGAATTCCCTTTTTGTTCCCAGGCAGGCTTACATGAGATAATTGCATGAAAATACAACCAGGATGCTACATAACACCTACAACAGCTTAGGAAGAAACCATTTCATTATATTCAGGTTTTGAAGTGTAACAGGCAAATTTCTGTAATCTACTGATTTAGTTATTTGACTAGGAAGACTGAGGTTCTCTTGTGGAAGAATCTGAGGAAGTGGAGTGGAACAAAAAGAGTATTTCCTGACAATGGTCTTTGATGTTCACAGCAGACTGACAAAAAGGTCCACTATCAGGAGAAACAGTATCCCCAAGCTGAGTGGTATGTCTGTGTCTCCTGAGCATCTCCCCTAGTTGTCAAAATACAAAGTTGAGACTTGCTTAACCTGAATTTCAGATAGCTTGCTTCACTCAGCAACTGAGACAGGTGAAGAAGATTCATTCTGCCTGTTCCTGTAGCCCAAATGAGACAAACAAGGTCTTATCAGACAGCAGTAACACAGCTGAGATTTACCGTGGGTTTGAACCCTGCACCATGCACAGGTTTGCTTTTAGCTCAAGTGCCCTGTCACCTACAGTCAGGGTCCTTAAACTTCACCTGTGGCAAGTGTGCATTAGCAGGTGACAATTGTGTCCTTTAGCTGGGGTTACAGACAGTTGCAGCTGACTTTAAAATGCTTAATTTTTTTTCATTCAAAAATGTCTTGTAGAATATAAAAGCAGTTTATTCTTTATTAATGAACACATGGCAAATTAAGGAGTTCAGAATGGTTATTTTTTAATGAAAAATACGCTTGAGTGCATTGCTGTTATACAACTGACATCACGAAGAAGAGCAGGACTTTCGAAAGCATCTTTGGAAGTGACTCTGTTAAGAACACGTGATGCTTTTAATCCATTAGCTTCTGACTTTTGATGTCAATTCCTGACTGCTTGAAGCTAGTGGTAGAAACTCCAGGTATTATAGACAGGCCACAGTCCCTTTCCTGATGTAAGTTACAATAAAAATACAAACATTTAGTATTTACATGCTTTATTTTTTGGCTTTTCTCTCCTTGTGTCATCATTAAGCTTAAAGAAATGATTATACAGTTGATGTGGATTTGAAACTCTCTGTTTCAAGAATATCATCTTTCATGAATCTAACATGTTGCCCACAGCAAAGAACTCACTACCAATATGAATTACATACATTCAAGAGAATGATCTCAGAACTGGAAAAGATATTGAAAAGCTGAAAATGTATTGAAAAATACACTGACTTAGTGACAAATATAATTCACCATAAATAATACTTTTTCAAAAATCAAAAATGCCAGTGCCATGTTGTTGCACTAAATTATGCAAGGAGAGTGCCTGAGGCACAGCCACTACAGAACTCTGGAAGACACATTTGGAGATACACCTTCCGTACTGCTTTATTGAATATCACTGTATGCTCTTCCAGTCCATGGTAATGGCTCTGGTACCTCCCACAAACATGATAGAAAAAAAAATTAACTACTACTCTGCTACTAGGAAAAACATCACTGAGAAGCATTTATGGGTTTTCATATCTAGTTCATACAAATTTAAAGACCAAAGTTTGTATTCAGTATAAGCAAGGGGGTAATTTGGCCAAAAGCTATAAAACCTCGTATACAAATAATAAAAGTGTGACTATCTATATGAAGTATTTGTTGTGTTTCTGGAACATGGAGAATGTTCTATCAGCTCAACAGAAAATAATAATCAGAGAGGGATCAGAAAGTTGCATGGGAAAATAATATTGTGGAAAAAGAACCTACATTTAACCGATTTTTGGAAAACAGTTTACAGATTTACTTTAAATATATAATGATTTTTAATATAATGATATTTTTTAAAATACAAGCATGATAAAGGATTCACACATATTCAGGTCAGTAATTCAGGTCTCCCTTTCATTGAACAGTAAACACCCTTACTTTCACCAATGAGTCTCTATGTTCAGACCAGCCACCAGACCTTGCCTTCTTGGCCTGTGTGGCAATTCAGGAATGCAAGCTCAAAGTCTTAAGCCAATGAAGTCAACAAACCTTCCAAAAAACAGGAAAAAAAAACAGCTTGAAGGTTGCAACAATCAGTCAGATTAAGTGCTGTAAAGACATGCTTATCTTACTCTGCTAGCATCATTGTACATCATTGTTGACATACAAGAGTCTAAGACAAAATATTTCTGTATATTTTGAGTTTCATAAAGTTAAACTAACAAAGACTTACAGAAGCAAGTGCCTGACAGGAAAGAAGACCAGACTACATTTTTCAGTTTCTGATCCACAGATCCTCTGCAGCTGACAAACATCAGACATTCAGATATATAGGACAAGAGTTGGTTCCAAAACATATCCAGCATTCCATGCGTGCATTTTATGGAGGTGTTAGGACCATGAGACCCTTGAAGTAATCTCTCCTCATTTTTTGCCCTTTCTCAGATCAAACATCAGCAGATTGACCATTTTTTTCAGAAAGCAAGTGTACTGGTGTTTGGCAAAGCATTGAGAAGATTCTTAGCCCATTTTGATGATGAGTAGAATTTTTTACCTGCACAGTCCAGTACTCTGGTGCTTGTTTTAATACTGGGCCCAGACATAATGTTAATCAGAAAATTTGAGGTGATTACAAGCTTGGAGATAATAATCTAAGGCTTTATCTTTGAAAGGTAAAATGACAGACACATTTAAGCATAACTGTTGTTTTCAGCTGTTGTAAAGCTCATGCTTCCCTGGGGAAGTACACAGACTGCAAAGTGAAAAAAAACTGAGTTTGATTTTACTTAATTAAAATATAAGAAAAAGATATTAATTGGAGTGGAAGTTATATTGTAATTATTTGGAGGGTTTCAATTAAAATAGAGTGCTCACTTCTTGGAGTCTAATTCTTGTGTTTTTGTGTGCTCAATAAAGATGTCACATATTAAGCTAGAAATCCGGTGGGCAATTTACATTTTAATAGCTCAGAAGCAGGTTTCTGTGGAGTGCTGTAGAGGAGCACATCTCTCTTTTGGATTATCCAGGCATTTATTATGTGCACTAGTCATCCAAAATTTTTCATGATGTTACTTTTTCCAACAGAGTTTAAGCTTCAGAACAGAAGACAGCCATTCAAATAATATAAAAACAGAACATATGACTAATTAGATAAGGCCACGTCTTGAAATACCTTTTTATCCATCTGATTTTCACAATCCTTTTCCCTTTAAAAGAATTGTATTATTACCATTCTGCAGTGATTCTATTGCAATAGAATGATTCGTCTTTCAGACAAAAGTATGTCTGAGAAATTACTAAAAATTCACCTTCTTTTTTAGCAACTAACTTTCACCATATTTTCAGTATACCACTTAACCTTTTCTGTATGACCTTGAAAGAGTAAAAGTATTGACTAGCTTCACAAAGCCCTGTAGTTCAACACACCTCCAGAAAAGAGGTCCATTACCCCTCCCCAAAGTTACTCAAATCGCTGTGATATGAGCGCAATAAGTGCGCAATAAGTAAAACCTGAACATTAAGAAGCTGTGCTATAACCACAGCTCTGTTTTTTGCTCTGCCAGGGTTACCAGTTAATACACCATGATGGAAATGGAAATGCAGTCAGCAACTGCTCCTGTACCCATTTAAGCTCCCTTGTTAACACACACCACTCTTTGGGCACCGGACACTAAACAGCTGCTTGTTCCTTTTCTAATGAAGTTGTCCACAAGCGTCTGAAAAGTGGTGTCCCTGAGAGTACAGCTTCAGTGGAAACAAATGAATTGCACGGATTTTTCAAGTGTCATTGAGTTTGTCTTCCAAGGAACAGTATAGACTTACTGCAAAACCTCTGTCAGTGCTTTACATATATGTTCAGCTGATACATTTCCCATTTCCTCAAACACTGGAAGCAATATATTCTTTATGTATTGTACTGTGTATGCCTATCACAAGATGAGGGCTATTTTAGCTGTTCAACAGCATTATGAACAGTATTTTTAATAGGCTTTCAATAACCTTTTCAATGTACTATCAAGGAAATGAAAAAGACTATTGTATTTTTTTGAGAAAAAACCCAAAACTCAAGAGACTAAAGTTCAAGTCCTGAAGAAAGTAGATGTTTTAATTCAATGATACTTCTATACAATAAAAATATTGTACAGAATATTTCAATGGTTATTTTACTTCCATGTTCTTAAGTTACAATTCCTTTTTATTACAAAGTTGTTATTGCCAGAAATAAATTGAATTTACTTGCTCGGTATAGGAAATCTGTAGCCTTTTATGTTTTGAGGGAGACACTAATAGCTCCTGAAGCAAATAATAAATAATATTAGTATCATTGTAGATTATTGCTGACATTTCTCAGTGGATAGATAGGTCTTACTATGCCAACTGTTTTAGAAAAAAATTACTAGTAGAAAGTAGTTGTTTCAGTGGAAAGTTTATTCAAAATCAACAATGGTTTTGAAGAGAAAAATAATAGATTCTTATAATATCCTACATATATAAAGTACATTGTTGGTTAAATTATTAAATGTGAGAAATGTGAGAAAAGCAGTATAACTAAAAAAAAATGGTGACAGTATCAGTATCAATTCAAAATGATATATGCACTAAGCAAGCTAAGAGGTAACTCGTAGTTTGTGTCAGCACCGTGAAGTATTGCTGGACCAGCAGTTTTCTTTTAACAGATGTTTTACTTTGACCTTATTAGTTTGGCTTTTGCAAAGACATAGCTGTCAAATTTACAGCAAAAATAGAGGAAGTGTTGATCCTACTACTCAGTAGTGCAGGGACATCCTTCCTTATTTTTCCCCATCAGCACTATTTTATATCAAATTAATGATTTGGTATGATTTTCAGAACAACAACAGAACTACCACAGGGGGGAAAATTGATACATTCATGTAACTTAGCATGAACACTTTCACTGGAACAAATACTTTTAATTCAATATTGAACTAAAGAATACTATTTTCCTCATTCCAGTTGTCTTACAAGATTCCTACAAGATACAGGTTAATTACCCTTTTTATTTTTTTAAATTTATGTTTTAATGCTATTACCAATAGTCATGATGCTTCTTCAAATTCTGTCTTTACCTGAATTTACCCAAATGAAGGCTAACACTTGTTGTTAAGAGTAATTATGAAGTGGATTATAATCCACAGAAGGATAGCAGAAATTTCTAAATTCTGCACTTGAAAAGAGACTCAGAACTGACCCATAGGAACTAGAGGGGGAGGGGGGAAGAGGCATAGTTAGTCTGTACTCCCACAATTATTGCTTTTTTCCTTTTCCCTAGCCAATTTGACATCTCTGAATTAGCATTACTTACTGACTCTTTACTGTTTATCATCAGCTATTGCTCTAAATGGATACTTTTGAATCATTCTCCTTAATACTATTTCAGGAGGAAACTTTAAATGTGCTGCTTCACAGTCTAAATTCACTTGTCCATGTCTAGTGCAGACATTTTAATTATGATTCAGCTATCTGTTCTTCTCTGATATCCTTGGGGGACAATGACCCATAGAGAGTAAGTAAATAGGGCAGAGGAGACCCACACTTCTTTGCAGTAGTGACTGGAGGGCAGGCAGGATACTTTAATACATCTAAACTGCCACTAAATGCCAATATTTATGGGAAACCAAATTTCACTCTTAGAAATTAAAGATGGAAGAATAAAGGAACTTGACCTGCTCACTCACCTTTTAAAATGATCTTTTCCAAATGAGGTTAAGGAAGACAGAGTATTGATCCCTACTATGGCAAATAGAACCCTCGGCTGTGAATCTCTGGCAACAGATGATAATTAATAGGAAAGACTCTGTGAGTATTTAGAGGAGGATGTGCATCAAGGGCATGTATAACACAGTATGAAAAAAAAATTCATATGATGCACCAAATACTATTAAGAGGACAGAGTTAAAAAACTATTTAAAAAACTTTCCTGGCTCATAAAAATCAAGTTGCCAAATAGCCTTTCAAATGATATTCCTCTTTGCTTACCCTTCTGCTTGAGACTCCTGACCAAACAAAACAAGAATGGATTTCTAAGAAGTGTTTTATGAAGAATGATCCTGCACTAGAAGAACAGAGACGTCCCCACCCAGAATATCTTTTCTGATCCCTACTCACTGTGTTACATACAAGAATATCCAGTCAGACTTTTTCCAATACCATATGCCATTAAAAACATGATTCATTTTCACCCTCTGTTTAAGCTGTCTTGAGTTTTGTTCAGTTATTAAGATCCATGGGGTGTACATATGGAGATGCTACTTTTCAGGGGGTAATAGATAGGCAAGGAAAGCAATCAAAGCATACTCCATATTCTTAATTGTTAATGTGTTCCATCAGACAGTTTGGGTTCTTCAGTGTAAGGCTCATTGGAGCAATGCTCAGGCTGGGTAACAAGGGCTCCCTCCTGGCAGAGCAGGCAAAGTCCTCTCACCTTGGAAAAAAGGCAGGTTACCCACAGAGGTGCAGGCCATGCTGTCCTACTTGCCCCCAGCTACCTTTGTCACCTAACACATGTGGCCAACACAAAAAAGAGGAGATGAAGAGACAATGAAGTCGTATCTCAGTCTCCTGGAGTTCAGTTATGACATTTTGGTGCCTTCCTCTTGAAATACTCCTAGAGGATGGCATGGGGTTCTGTCACTGTAAGAAATTCACAGGCCTAAAGCATGAAGAGCCCATCCTCAGTAACAGTAAACCTTGGCTAGCAAGGTTAAAACATTCAATTAGGGGAGTCTGCCACTTAGATACACAAAAAGACTAAAACTGAAAAGCAGAAGCTTATCTCTAACCCTGGTAATTTAGCTGTAATTTCTTCTGCTGTGACCTTCCTGTGAAGTGCTTCCAATAGATATGGGGCCTCCACAAAGAGCATGACAATCACCCAATAGTTTCTGTCTTCTCCAGCGGAACTAATTAGCATAAAAATCAATACACAGATTCTGCTTAATTATCATCAATAACTCTAATGAGTCATTAATGGTAAAGGACCCTTATTTTTCAGGCACAGGTGAGTTTTCTTGGTTTAACATACCTAAAAATTACTTTGGGTATTTGCTTTTCCATTTGTATAACATTCTGTTTGGTATAAAAAAACTTCAGAAACTTCACTGAAATGGTAAAAAATAGAAACTTTTGAAAAACATTACAGTGGAAAGGAAAATTTCACTGCAAAAAATTCAAGAAAAATGAGCATAATGGGAAAAAGAAAAGGAAAACTACAGGATATAAGAGAAATGTATGAGTGAGGACAGAAGAATGTAAACTTACAGTTCTACATGTATTTCATGGCTATTCACTCAACTCCTGCCTCATTTTGGTCTAACACAATGCTCATGGTAAGGCACCATGTTTGCTGAGAACAGCACCACATCAGCTTTGTTTCAATGAATGTGTTGTCCTGTAAAATAAAGAGATCCAGTTGGATAAATATTTGGTCTAAGTGAGCAAGAAATGTGTGTGAGCATGGTAGAAAAGAATATACAGACAAATATGAACAACTATTTCCAAAATGCAGTTTTATCAGGTTTTTGATAATCCTCTAAAGCAGATGTTCACTAGGATAGTATATTACTAAATGCCTTTTATGCTTCTGGGAATTATATATTATATTTGAGATTTAAAATATAGTCTGTGTGTGTTACCTACAAGAAAGGTAATTTAACTCCACCTGCAAGAACACGAAAAACAGAAGAAATACAAAAAGTGTATTTTTAAAAATACATATATTAAACATATAGATATATGTTTAATCTTATGCATTTATTTCACCATATATAAGTACAAATTAATTTGTGAATTAGAAAGTCTTCTGTGACTTTTTAGAATGGAACAAATTTACTGATTACATATTATTTCTTTTCTTGTAAACTCTCATCATGATTAAAAGAAATATTTGCACTGCTGAAGAAATTCTAGATCTTTCAAATATATATTAAGAATGTTAGCAACAGAAATAATGACAGCCCATTAGACTAATTATGTTATGGATATAAATACGTGTGAGTCTCAGAAAACCATTTCTTTATTTAATCTGAAAATCATTATTTTTGTTTAGAAAGACACTTCAGTCTGCTGGCATGATGAAAGAGTAACATATTCAGCACTCCTTGATAGGAGTTGCTGAGTTATTAGAAATAATCCTCATCCAGTATTGCCTGTTTTATTTTACAAGGAATTTGTACTAAAAAGTTTCATACCATAGCAATAATCTCCTCCACCAGGAAAAAAAAAAAAAAGCAGTATGAATAGGTTACAGACAAACATTTCTAGAAAAGCTCTGAGTCATATAATGTAAACAAATGCACATAATTTTTGTAAGTAATAGTAAAAGCAGCAGTTGTAGTAGTACTAGCACAACTTTCTTTCTCCTACTAATACCAGTTTAGGGTGAAACATCTCAGAATCTCAGGACCTAAAAAAATGGGACTACCATTTTCAGAAATTTGAGTGAAACATGGGAACAATACAGTTTTTATAAACAAATTTTTTAAGTTTGCAGGTTTGTGTCTGAGGTTTGAACTTGATCCTAACTTAAAGTGTACATAAGCAACTGGAGCAAAATGTAACTGAAAGAAAACCTGGCCTTGCACCATCTGAGTATTGTAACTTAATGGCTTCACAGAAATTTTTATAGGATATTACAGCATTGCCAAAATTATTGGTGAACTTTGCAGAGCATCTGAATCTGCTGCTTTGGGACTTAAGCTATTATAAAGCAAATTTGGAAGCATAATTTGCTTTATGTACAAAGTCCTATTCCTTTCCTCTGAAGCCTTAGTGCTTGCCTGGACAACTGGTTTGTCATCTCTTTCCAGTTCAGATATTTACTTTACCAAAAGTAGATTTTCCAAATTACAGCTCTTGATACAGTTTCAGCTGGCATCCACTGTGCATGATTTTAACCATGATTTATAACTGGGTTTAATCCAAATATATGATATGTCACTTGTGTAGCAGACAACCTTTAAATGACTTAATATAATAATAAAAGCACTTGCTGTATAGTTTGATAATTAACTGTATGAAAAAACTGAGCAATTTTTCTGCTATAGTTTAATTTCCAAAAACTGTAAATCACCTATAAGCTGGTAGCCTATATGCAAATACTGTTTGTGTACTGTAAATTTTCAGTTTCCCTGTCTTAATTTGCATCCTTTTTATTTGTCTCATCAAAATGCACATTTTTCCATTAAAATGGTTTGAGTAATGATATAGGGATGATATTCTTCAGGGCCTATTTATTTTCAATTCTAGTCACCTGTGAATTATATATTCTTTAATACTTGAGTGAAGACATGCCATTAGTAAAATCATAATAAATATGACTTGTTATCAGGATACAAATGGTAAATAAAACTATACTCTAAAAATGATGAGCCCCCTGGGATGAGTTAGCCTATGATTTATACTAGGCCCCTGAAGACTATAAGGCTATGACAAACCATTCTCATTACCTATGCTCTGTCTGCATTTATCTGTTGCATACTTCAGGGCAGACAGTTACACATTTACAATATGCTCATTACAAAAAAAGAAGGGCAGATAGAATTACAATGGAGTTTTACACCATACTTAAATAAGAACTTGAATGGTCAGATTTCTTATAAAAATTATTGTTAAATTAATCTAAAAAACTGCTAGCAATATTTCAGCAGGAAAAGTAAAACTACCATTGCAGAGACTACTCATGTCAAACAGGCTCTCTCCTGAACACCTCTGATTTGGGGTGAAGATGGGGGAAATCTTCTTAGACTGGGTCTAAGAATTTTCCCTGTGTGGGAGGAACTTCAGAGCAGATCATCACCTTTCACTCCAAAACCTCACCCTTTTCTGAGACCCTTTCCCAATCTGTGAGGAAGCAGAGTAGTTTGCAAAGGCTTGAACATACTATGCTGTTTTAAGGCAGACAGTATTTTCCTCTCTGTATAAAAAGAGATTGTATCTTAGGGGAATTTTCCTGTGCTGTATAATAAACTCGCCTCATGTGGCTTTTTTTCTTTTATTCCCTGCTATGTTTTCTAATATTTTACTATCCAATAAAGCATAAGAACAGCAGAAGGTAGAAATTAAGGGAAATCCTGCCAATTCTCACCCAATAAGGTGCCTAGCAAAGTTAGCAACGCTGAATGTGTGACTTGAAAGCTGCTCTTTAATTCAGCACAAGGTAGCAGTTGCTAATCTTAAATAGCTCACAAAAGGAATATTGCAAGCCTGAACAACATGAGTCAAGGGAATTTTCATGAGTTCTATGTGCAGATTATATAGACTATATTTGCACAGAAAGAGCAAGAAATTAAGAGTTAGGGGGGTTTTCTGTATAAACAAGCGATGTGCATTTTTCCTTCTACAAAATAGTAACTGTAAGCAAGAAATTTTTTATCACTCTTCCTTCCATCTTTATCAGAATTCTGCATCATAGCCTGTCTAGGAAACATTTCCTAGCCTCAAATCAGGTTTTCCACTTGCTTTTTCAAGAGAAGTTTGTTCACTTGGGACCATTTTACTCTGACTGAGCTACATCTTAATCAGCAGAAAATTCACTGAATAGACTCAGTTTGAATTCTTGTTCCATCTAGTCACGCTCAATTGAGCATAGATGCTGGTGATCATTAAAGGCCATGCCCCTCTTCTGGCAGTTCTGTGGAAAACGTCCAAAATCCACACAGTGACTGAATTTTATATTCCCCTGAAATGAGAGGTGTGCACTGTCCAATGAGATGACCTGCTGCTGCTCTTGCCCAGTATATTCACACGTGGATGTTCTCACACTTACAGCAGACCGCAACAAGAAATAGTCAGGAAAACTGAGAGCTACAAACTTTAGGCTGAGTAATCCTACCAGATGTACCTGTTATCTCAGCTTGCTGGGAGCACGAGACACAGTTGAAATTCCTGGACCCACTAAGTCAAAGGCTGCAATCTCCACAGTGGGCGTAGGTAAATTTCATGTTTTCCGCTCAGTGAGTTTTCACTGGGAGTTTTAAAGAGAGTCCAATCCAGGATGAAACATATGTATGCTTGTATACCTGGGACTTATTAATATAAATGTCTCCTTTGTTTCTTGGTATATTCTCAAAAGGTTTCAACCATTCCCCTCATCCATAACTTCAAGACAGCTTTATAATATTTGCATTAATGCAAAGAAAAGTATTGTCTTGAATATATCAATGTCATTATATAAAGCTCTAAGATATTTCACAATCTCATCTTTCAAATGGATATTAAAAAAGGCAGGGGGGCTCAAAACTCATTTACATGTAAAAAAATATTCAGACACTGCCTTCTGATCTCACTTCAACAAAAATGGTATTGATTGAATCACAGCAGAACGGAAAAAAAAAGTCCAAATATAATGGAAATGAAGTAAATAAATTTCTATAAGAGGATGACAGAAAAATATTGGAATTTTTCAGGTTCTATGTTGACCTCAGAGAAGAAACTAGGTATGCTTTAACCAAAAGTACAGAAGCAAAGTAACAAAAAGTTCTGATCTTCCCAGTGATTCCAACAAAAGTAGTTCTTAGTCATTAAGAATAGAGAATATGCACTAGGGCATGTATTCCATTTCCTTACCAGGCCAAGACACTTTGGCTAATGTACAAGTCATTTTGAAAAAAAAAATCACATTTTTTGTGCATAATAGTATAACTTGTTTAAATAGCTTTGAAGTAAGAGCAATATTGGAACATAAGGTAAATAAGCTCATACTTTAATTATTCTACTGTTTGGCTCACAAAGACTTTCCACAAAGGTTTACCAAGAAAGTGGTACATCAGCTCACATTATGAGTGCTGGTTTTGCAATGCAAGAAGCCTGTTTATTTATTTATAAGTGACAGCTTAGATTCTATCAGCTGCAGCATTGTCAGGCAGCAACAAACAGCTGACTCACAGACGCTGAGGGGCCAGAGCACGTTCTGGCAGAAAATCCTGCCCGCACAATGGCCAAGACAGAAATGAGGTTAAATCCAACCCTTATGGTGTCACACAAAGCTGCAAAATTCACATTTTGGTAAAGACTTCTCCCAGAATCAGTGGTCTTAAAACACTTCTGTAGATAGTCAGTTTTCTTCCTTTCAGCATCTTGCTCCAGATTTTTCTAATCTCTGAGGCTTTTACTGAGGATTTTACCCTCAGGCAATGGTTACCAATGTTTAATGTAAACAGCCAAGCCCAATTATAGGACTTACCCTGGTGTACGGTGAGATAATAAGGTGCCAGTTCACAGTGCATTACACAGGAAAAGAGCATGTCTCCATTTTGCTCCCTGTTCACTGTTGGCTGTTAAGGGAGGTAAAATCTCAACATCACAAACCAGCGATAGACGAAACTGAAGTCATTAAATAAAGAGTTCTGTGTACTTTCAGACCGCAGACACAACCACTACGGCAGACAGCATCTTTTCATACTTGTGGATATTGGGCAGATATTTAAATTCACAAGAAACAGAACTAATAAGCAGGAATTTCAGGAAGTAAACAAGTAGGTTATTAGATCTGCTTACGACAGTAGATAATAATCCTCATATACGTAAGGCATCCAAATATCGTCACTGCAACCGATTATCATTTGCTCTCCCATTTTTTCCATGTGCATTTAATAACATTTACTAAGCAAATAAAAAATGCATGAAGCCCTAAAATCACTCTATGAATGCTAATATGTCAGATTTGTTGTAGGATTATAAGACATGTGAAAAATATTTATAATCCTTCATATAATGTCCAAATGGGGTAATCTGTATAGATTCAGACTGTGGAATTGTACAGAATATGCCACCTCTAGCTACTCTATTCACAGAACAGGGTAATTTTTTCACAGATTATTTATACAGTACACAGAGAAGAATTTGAAGTGATTGAAGAGGCTGCCAAACACCATACTCTTCCTTCGGGATATAGATGATACCTTTAAAATGGGTGAAAGGCTAATTAATCTTGAACTGTTCATGGATGATGTATAAGATAATATGCCTTAGCCTGACAGCGTTTTGGAAAGGCAGACAATTAAAAATGGAACCACGGTTTTCTTTGCAAGACAGCACACATACAAAAATCAGACAAGAGATTTTAATATACAGATGCATGAGAATTTGAATGCCACTTGAAATACAACTTGAAACTCAATCTTCCCTGGGATTATCATAGATAGCTAGAGGGAAGACTGGTTGAGTTTGGCAGAATCTGCAGCTTCAGGCCTTGAACAGGTATTTTGCTGGGGGGAAAGGCTGCTATACGCATTTTACTGTACTACAACTTTCTAGCAATAAATCTGCTGCTTTCTAACAGATGCAGCATTCATGGCAAATTACAAGTGCATTCTTCAATTCTCTCAAAGAGAGCCATAAAGATATATTCATCCCATAACGAGGCAACAGTCTTTACTGTTTCATTTATGCTTGTTCAATATATGTAAACACCTATCATTATTGTTCCAATTCCTTATCATCTCTAAAATGATTTGACAAGCTTCCTAAACAATGAAGTCAACAGAAGTTATGATTTTATCCTGAGTGAAAGAGAATTTAAAGATTTCATGTCAAATAAGTCCAAACTTAGAAAAAATAGAGAAAATAAATAATAGAATAGAATAAATAATAGAAATAGAAAAATAAATTGCCATACTTCCTAGATGAATTTTGCAGCTTGCAGTGTGCTTAATGGCTAGATTTTTTCCTGTACTTGATCTAAGAGATTTGACTGACAATAATCAAGCTATTTTGTTCCACAGAAATACTATGTGGAAACTTTTGGAGTTATATGAGTAACAGACAGAACGGGTGAGATTTTTGGATCTTTTTGTGCTTAGTGCTAAGCTTTCCTCTTTAGGTACTGAACTGTAAGAAATATATGGGACATAAAAAATTAACGATATAAGCATCTTTTTCCAATTGCCTCGATGGGTAGACATAATATCTGAGTATATCAAAACTAATCTGCATGAAATTTTACTAGGACATTCTTCCTGGATGGTGGGAGAGGGCAAGGCAGAGATGACATGGTTTTATCACCCAAGAGAACAGGCTTGTCTAATCTATAAATTTCTCTTTCACATATTTTTTAAGAACATTCTCCTGGCTTACACTATTTCATGCTGTACATAAAACAACTTTAAGTGCAGTCAAAAGCAGGATTTTATTTGCAATGACATTTGAAAGAAACATTTGCACTTTTGCAAACGATATCAAGAATGATGCCTACCTCCTGTTTAACCTGCTGGAAGTTTGATTACTAGCAACTGTCCAGATGGGTCATTGCAGTCCCTACTATCTCAGTTTTAACGACTCAGCATGACACTACATAGTAAGAGCACATGCCTCTACCAGTCAAAAATCATTTATTTATCATTTACAACTCTCCAGAATTTCAGTAGCACTCAGGCTAACATAATTCTCATACAACTTCCTTAACACGTCACTGTTTGAAGGATTGGTAATGAAAGCAGACACCACATACTTTTCTAGGCAATCTACCACTTTTGCATTTGTACCATTTTTTGTACTTATTTGTCTAGGTACTGGGATGTATGAGAGATGTTTGTACCACCAATATTTCTGGGACATGAACCATAATTAAGCAAGTGTTTAGTTCTGGAAATGTCAGCTTAAGAAAAATTAATGAGGCTGTGTCAACATTCAATGATGCAAAGAGACAAATGATGCAACATTGCTCTTTCATTACTGCCAGCCTATAAAAAGTCTCTATTTCTATTTTATAACTTTTTTTTCAGCCAAGTAGCATGTTCTACGGATAATCAGTAACTCTAAAACTGAGATAAAGATATCAGGAATGAACTTTTTTACAAATTAAGCCTATGTAAACCTCTCATTCTTGCATCATGAGATACCATTTCTCCAATATTATGAAGTAAAGCTGTATTTAAATATTTTTTCAAAGAACCTTACTGTATACAATAGTATAAAATATAGTACAATATAGTAAAAATAGGCGTATGTTGTTAATGTTGTTACCTTGTAACAACAAGTGAGTAAGTGAGTGTAAACAATTTTACTAACAAATTTATTAGAATTAGAGAAATACTCTTTTTGGAACTTTGTCGGTGACTTGATAGCTATCATTGCATGAGGTCAATAGGTGACTGAACTATTGTGAGTTTAATTACTCCTGGTAAAATATTTAGCAGTTTCTGAACAGAAAAAGACTTTACAGCATTTTAAGTGCTCGGGTTAACTCGCCCTGGGACTGACATACTAACAGCACATAGTCTCCAATTTAATCAAGTAGTTTTTGCTGTAATACAAGTAACTGGTCCATTATTAACTCAGAAGAAAGTCTGTGTTGGTGTTAAGAAAACTGAATGCTGCTTTCCAAATGGAAACATGGATAAGGTAGGTAAAAATTCAAAAGTTGGTGTCTGGCAAAGAAAAATGGATTTTGTAATCAGAAAAATAATAAAAGGCTAAAAACTGGAAACTCCCCCAAGGGCCATCAAGCCCTGCTATGACAAAAAATGTACACAACAAATCCCATTTTAAACTAATAAGAGAAGACCAATTAGTTTTGAGGGCTTCCTTCTCCATTGCTCCTGTTTCAAGGCTGTTCCAGAAGGTAACTCCTACAGTATTTATACTTCTTTTCTTCTTAGAATATAAAATATGTTTACTCAGGCTCATTACTGTTATTGTTAAAGCTTTCTTTACCTTCCATCTTAAGTAGCAGCTTTCTGTATCAATCTGCTTAGCCAATCAATCAAAGGCATCAACAGGATGTTGAGGGAAAGCAATCCTACCCTCCTGTGACTGCCAGAGGGTCTCATGAATGGTCAGACTGGAAAGTTTCCTTAACATAAGCTAAGCAGGGATCTTTCAGTCTTGCCCCAGAGGTATGTCCTCGGCTGTCCTGATCACTCCACATGCTCACTGGAGAAACTTTCAGTTTAAAAGTTCACTATTTTGAAATCCGTAACTTGTAACTATTTTCAAGTACAAGCACATTTGAAACAGCAAATTACTTGAATCAGATGGGACTGGATCAGGAGTAGTAGTCTGTAGCTGTGATAGGCTGTGGCTATAAGAATGTTAAGAGAGAGGCACCTGCCATAATGAAAGAAGACTCTGAAGTCATCAGGCTATAATTTAATTTTCTCTTACAAGAACAAACATATGTCATGATTGTGAATTAGGAGGCAGGGATTTATTTTTGCTGGGTTCTGTGTTTCTCTTTAACCAGATAATTCTTGAATTATATGCATGAAAGTATGCTAGTGGTTTTGGAATATGACCATGATTTCACCAAGACCTTTTACAAAAACACAAATACTTTCTCTGTCTTTGAACTTCCACATTCTAGGAAGGCTTTTGTCTTTTTCAAAGCTCTATTACATAGAGATTCTATTATTAACTGTATCTCTGTCTTTATCACTCATTTTTAATTTAAAGTAGACTTTTTATTAGCAGTTCATAAGTACCTGACCTTGTACTAGAACATTTCATTCCATTTCTATTAATGCTGTTTTAAGGTCACCCTGATCTTTCTATGTATTATTCTCATCTTCCTGTGAATTTTCAGTGTCTCTTGATTTTGACTGATTGCCAGATTTTTCTATCTGGCCCCTGACATTTCAGTAGTACTTCATTGTTTCACATCATTTAGGATGATGTGGATCACTGAGAAACGGTGGCAAAGAGCAGGTGAATGAAATACATGGAGCTGGCGAGAAACACTGATTTTACTGACCGCCACAAAATTAGGCACAAAGAAAAACAGCTGGAATGCCACTGCTCCATATGGGCTCCAGTGTCACATCAATACATTTTCAGCATTGAAATGAGATCTATTATTATTTCTTATACTATCAATGATTTTCAAGTAAAGTCACTTTCAAACATTATTCAGCCAACTCAATACATAACTCACCATTAGAGCTCAAGTTTCTAATTTAGAATCCTAATTTAGGTATGATAGCCAGTGCCCACACTTACATGGAATTATCCTGGACTTTTGTGACTAGTTTCCAAGTAATAGAAATCAACCTAATCTAAACTTTTCTCCATACAGTGGCACTTTAAAAGATGAAAATGAAAAAAAAAAAAAAATCATTTAAATGTATTCATCAACACTTTGGAATTTTTCCAATGGATTATTCCATCGACTTCTTTTTAGCAGATTTGGTCCTCTTAATTTGAAATTGAACATCCATAAAACCAGTATTAAAATACAAGTACCACTTATGTGAGCAAGTGTATTAGGCACATCAAACAATACACACAAATCCCCTATGTGAATTTTGTACTCACAATACAATACAAACAATG